AAGAGCATGTATTGCTCTTACAGCTGTGTCCTGGGTTCAGTTCCCAGAAGCCAAATGGTGGCTCACAGCCATCCAGTTCCTAGGGTGTTATATGGTAACTCCTTTTCAGGAGCCAGTGATACACATGATGTCAAAAGACTCATACACATAAAAAAAAAAAATAAAAAAAAAGACATGAAAACTATCCGTTCAGTGGCAGAATGCTTACTGAGTGTCATGGTTTGAGTACTATCTCCACAGGGCACCAGTGGGGTTATAGTATAGACCGGATTCCAGCTGAGGCTTCTACTTCCTGATCCGCTCAGATGTGAGCAAGCTGACTCATGCTTCCTCCTGACCAGAGAGCCTTCATCCCACAGATGTGAGCAAGCTGACTCAGGCTTCCTCCTGACCAGAGAAACTTCATCCCACAGATGTGAGCAAGCTGACTGACTCATGCTTCCTCATGACCAGAGAGCCTTCATCGCTTAAACTGCTCATTGTCAGGCATTTGGTCAATGTGAAAATGAATTAGTATATCTAGCAAACACAAGGCCAGGCCTGGGATGGGTTCCCAGAACTGAAAAATATTAGCGTTTATTCTGACATCCAACACTTTCTGTGGCATCGCGGAATGTTATCCTTGGAGTAAAACATCAAGTACCATCTTAATCATAGCTGCCGATTACCCGCAAGAGGCCCTGAAGAAGACAGGCTGCTGCTTCCTCACAGAAGGGCTGTGGGGGAGGTCATTAGGCCTTACCCGAGATATCAACACAGTGCACCCCCAGATGCACGTGATTCTACCCCAGTGGCACACGATTTTGAGAGGCACTCGAGTATACAGGAGGAAAGGTAACTGAAGGTGGGAGCTCCATTTCTGCAGCTTTGGGGAAGCTCTCCCACTGCTGAAGCACAACTTTGCTGTGATACAGCTGTTGTGGAGTTACCCACACTCCTGTAAGGCGCCTTCACCCACGCTCCTGGAAAGCGTCACTCAAGTCACCAAGTCAGCAAGCTATTAGGGTAGAATGGTCCTCTGAGATGAGCAGACATTTATCCATGTTGCCCCAGGAAAAGTTAATATAAAAGGTGAAAAAAATTGTGATAGGGATGCTGAAGTGTAGCTCTTCACAGTTGATGGATTCTGGTGGGGGCGGGGAAGGACTGGTTTTCTTTAAGGGGCTGCCCACTGGGAGTTTGATCATGATCCAGTGAGTATATGGGCAACACAAATTGGATTTGGTATTTTGTTTATTTTCCTCTTTTGTTTTGGGGGAGGTCACAAGGGTGGGGAGTGGACCTGGGAGAACTGGGAAGAAAATGTGATCAGGGTGCATGATGTGAAATTTCCAAATAATCAATAAAAATATGTTATAAAAAAAAAGATTACCACCCCCCCCAAAAAAAAGGTGCTAAAACTTGTCATATAAACAATACCCAGGACATTTTCTTTTATTCATATATATGAGTGTTTCTACTATATTACATTAAATATTTGAGTCTTCAAAAAGAGGTCAAACTAAATGACACATAACATATTATGAATTATGAATTTATTAAGCACCAAAGGTATACAGCAATGGTTGGTACATAAAAAGCACAGTTATTGATATAATTTCCTGCCATTAAGCTTACAATCTAAAGTAAAATACAAGAATATTGTCAGCCTACATCAAAAGTTTCCTAAACTTAGAATTGGCTACTTTGGCAAATGGATGAGGCAAAATGACCTATTTCAGGCAAAGTGTTAATAAGGCTTTGAACATGACACAAAAATATTTTATGTGTATCCGT